CTGTACTCTGGATGCAGCTGACCCGGGTTCAATCCCTGGCACCCCATACAGTCCCTGAAGCCCTGCTGGGAGTGGCCCCTGGGCACAGAGCAAGGAGTAATCCCTGAGCACTGCTGCATGTGGTCCCCAAGCCAAAAAAAAGACAGGCTTATTGTGAATCTTGACTGTTTAATGTAATACCAGCATTAGGTAATGTTGTTTTCTTTTCTTTGCTTTTTTTTTAAACTTTATTTAAACACGGTGGTTACAGGGTTGTCCGTAATACCATTGTGTCAGGCATTCAATGTTCTAACATCAATACTACCACCAGTGGAACCTTCTCCCCACCATTGTCCCCCAGTTTCCCATCCACCCCCAAGCCTGCCCCCTTGGAAGGCACAAAATAATGTATTTTTATTGTTACAACAGAATGGTAAGTGGAATTATTAAAATACAGTTCAGTAAAAGAAAATTTGTGAGAATTGTTGTATTTCACAGTGGTATTGTGCAGTCATTGTCTGAGGATTCGCGGAGCTGTGTGTTGCTGGTTGAGCCTCCTGTGGTCTTGTGTTGGCCTTTTGGACCTCACGGGCTTCTGTGCTTGTTCTTCTTTGTCGTGCTCCTCTGCTGTCAGTTCTGTGGGGTTGGCAGGCGTCGTGTGTGACCGGGCACTCTCGGAGCCCAGAACTGCTGTGTGTGTGAGTCTTGTTGGCTTGGCGTCTCTGCAGAGAGTAGTGGCGAAGCAGTGGGGGTGGGCTGTGTGTGTGGCTGCCCGTGTGTGGGCAGGGACCCGCTTCTGAGGGAGCCTCATAATTTTCAGCCCAGAGACTGGTGTACCTGTGAATTTTAGCAGCTTACCTTCCATCGTTCCAAGATTAGCCCGCTTCCTTCAGTAATGTTTTTTAAATCTCCACTTAAGACACAGTTCCTAGAAATTTTAATTTCCATGGTAAAAAATCACCACAGGGGCTGGAGCAATAGCACAGCAGGTAGGGCGTTTGCCTTACACGCGGTCAACCCAGGTTCGATTCCTGGCATCCCATATGGTCCCCTGAGCACAGCCAGGGGTAATTCCTGAACGCAGAGCCAGGAGTAACCCCTGTGCATCACTGGGTGTGACCCAGAAAGCAAAATAAATAAATAAACAAAATCACCATAAATAAGACCAAAAGATGCATGACAAACTGGGGGAAATACATTTGCATTTTTTCACACAAAAGACAGCCTCACTAGTATATATTAAAGAAAAGAATAAACTGCTAATTTTTTTTTTATTATTTTGGTTTTGGGGCTACACCTGGTGTTGCTCAGGGATTATTTCTGGCTGTGCACTCAGGGATCACTCCTGACAGTGCTTGGGGTAACATATGGATGCCAGAATTGAACCCAAGTTGGTCATGTGAAGACAAGCACCCTACCTGCTGAACTATCTCTGGCCCCAAGAGCTACTAGTTTCTTGAAAGGACAGGTGTAAAGCTTTCTCTCCCCCTATGCCACAAGTAAAATCCAGGACCCCACACAGCCAAGGCAGCTGTTCTCCCACTGCGCCATATTCCTAGCCCTTAAAAAGGGCTTTTTTATGGTGACAGTGCATCATGATTTTTTATGGTGATGCACTAACTGTGCTATGGATTTTATATCTAAGAATATTTAATAAAAGATAGCCTTAGATCCTTCCAGGAGACCCTAGATTGGTAAAAGGGCTTGGAGCATCTGTAGCTGAAGATCTAGTAAACAGGGTGTAACTAGACCAGAACCTTTGCTTTTCCCCCTCAGAGTAGCTCCCTCTCAGAAAGTCTCGTAATTTTCACTGATGCTAGGATGGCTTTGGTGGCCCCAAGAAACGGGGGGCCCCAGCAGCATCTCGGCACCCGTTGCCCTAACATCGAGCCATTCCGCCCTGTTGGCCCAGTGTCACTGGGGGTGCCCCCTGAACTCTTGATGGGAGCCCCACCTCAAAAAAAAAAATCTGTGTTTAGTTCTCTCTCCTAGTCTTTTTAACTCCACACTGAAGTCACATTCCAGCTAATTCCATTATCTCCGTCTTTACTCGTAAAGCCCAAGAACCTTCCTTCCACGTTACCCACGCAGAGCAAAGTGAAGTTGGGGGAGTTGCACCCCCAGCACCCCCAGGTTTAGCCCTGGCACCCCAAGTGCCAGACCACCGGGCCAGGCTGCCAGCAGAGCATTGTAGGGACAGCACAGGCCTGTGAGCACCCTGGGGCGGGGTGTGTATGGGGGGGTGTCGGGACACTTTACACACCATTTAAGTTGTAAGGGGTTTTTGCTTTTGTTTTAATCCAGACACCATGATTTACAGTCACTTATAGCTGAGTTCCAGGTATACTATGTTCCAGCACCCGTCCCATCTCCAGTGTCCACTTTCCTCCACCAGTCACCCCAGTTTCCCTCCAGCGCCCCAGGTTGCCTCCTGGACAGGCACATTTTTTTGTTTGCTTGTCTTCCGTCCACACCCAGCAATGCTCAGGGGTTCCTCCTGGCTCTGCAGTGAGGAATTATTCCTGGCAGTGCTCAGGGGGCCATTTGGGATGCCAGGGATTTAATCTGGATCCACTGCGTGCAAGGCAGCGCCCTACCCGCTGAACTCTCACTCCGGCCCCAAGGCCAGGCTCATTTTGAAGTTTGGTTGTTGTGGTTTGGGTCTCCTGCTTTCAGCGCCGTGGGCTCTTGGTTCTGATGCAGTCTGTGCCACAGCTCTCCACTGCCGCTGTCTGAGGCCCTGGTCCCTGAGCAACTTGGAAGTATTTACGAGATCCTTTTCAGTTCATGTTGTCGAGCTGCTTATTGTCCCTTTGGTTACGTGTCTCTTTGGAACCTCGAGGGCTTCAGTTTGCGAAGCCGCCAGTCTGTGCCCATCTCATCGACACAGCTCTCACTCCACTTCAGTGTTCAGCTCCAGGATAAGCAGAGAACCACTTGGGGCCATATTTCTTTCCACCAAAGGGTGGTATGATTTGAGCAGGGTGCCAAAGCTGGGAAAGCTAATTGTGTAAATCGATGCAGCCGAGCTGATCACCTTTCAGAAAGACGAGACAGTGCGCACACAGCTTCTAAATAGATCTCCAGGGTCAAGTGGATGTCAGCGTGCAGAATCAATATTTACGGGCTTTATAAAGTTAGCTTTTAATGAACCAGGCATTGCTGCGAGACCATCACTTGCAGGAGGAGGAACTGCACAGCGGCGGAAGTCCCTGGCTTGAAGGTTGCATAAAAGCAGGCGGAGACCATCCTTTGCTGGCGGGCAGAGCTTCCCCATCAGGTTCTGCACAGACGTCCTGTGCATGCCTTAAAGGCTTTCTTGGCATGTTACCCACGTCTTCAGAAAGTGTAGCCTTGTTAGAAAAGATGAAGTCATGAAATTTACATACAAGTGGTACTACATAGAAAGTATCATGCTAAGCGAAATGAGTCAGAAAGAGAGGGACAGACATAGTCATAGTCCCAATGCATAGAAAGATCGCATTCATCTGGGGAGCATAAAGTAACAAAATAGGAGACTAACACCCAAGAATAACCGAGATAAGTACCAGGAGGTTCACTCCATGGCTAGGAGGCAGCCACACATTGTAGGGGAAAAGGCAGCTCAGATAGAGAAGGGAGCACCAAATAAAGGGTGTTGGGAGGATCCTCCCACGATGGGAGATGCATGCTGAAAGTAGACTATAGACGAAACATGATTGCCACTCAGTGCCTCTTTTGCAAACCACAGCACCCAAAAGGAGAGAGAGAACAGGAGGGAATGCCCTGCCGCAGAGGCAGGATGGGATGGGGGGCTGGGGGGTAGGAGGGATACTGGGATCAGTGGTGGTGGAGAATGGGCACTGGTGGAGGGATGGGTACTCGATCATTGTATAACTGAAACCCAAGCACAAAAATTTGTAAGTCTACAACTGTACCTCATGGTGTTTCACTAATAAAAATTAAAAAGAAAAGAAAAAAAAGAAAGAGTAGCCTTGGCGTTTCGAATGAAGAAGATAAACCTTTTTGCCCATTGCCACTCCCTGTCTTAAGTACTGTGGCTTCATTTTCCTGAGAGGAATTCTGATGTCCTTTTGTAATTATGCAGATACAAGAACTGGTTCCCCTCAGAGCATGGCTTATCCGCCCCCCACCACCCCCAACACGCCTAAAAGATGAAGAATTGCAGGAAGGCGCATTTACGTTGGGGCACTGTCTCATACCCAAGCCTCTCAGAAGGCTTTTGGTAAATATTCGCCTGTGCCCATGGTCCGTCCGGCAGAAGTGTTCTCTGCCGGTTCCGTGTACAGGAGCATTCCGTAACCCTCACTGTGCGCCAGGACTGTTTGTGGCCCGGGAGCCTCGCCTCTTGTTTATTTTGGTCCTTGCTCTAAAGAATGCTGTTTACAAGGTAGAGGAATGTATGGTATCCAGTCTTATCCTGGCCCAAACAAAACTAGGATCTGACAATGTCAGTAACAAAATCATAAAAAAAAAAAAAAAAGCTTTGTTTGGTGTGCCCTACCACCCGGGACGTCCATTACTTTTCAGTCATATCTGCACAATGGATAAAGTTTGCAGCGAGCTTCTGAGACCTGTTTCTGTGGATTGTTTTGTCAAGGGCGGCTGTTGTTTTTATGGAGGGCGAGGAGGAAGCTGTTTGGTTTTGGAGTTACACCCAGCAGTGGTCAGGGTTTATTCCCAGCTCTGCTCAGAGATCCTTTCTGGTGGGCGTGGGGGACCATATGGGGTGCCCAGGATGGAACTGGGGTTGGCTGTTCACAAGGAAAGAGCCCAGCTCACTGTACTGTCCCCGGCCCCGGCCAGGGGAGGTTTTAACACGAATCAGCGAAGTGCCACCGTGCGTTCCTCCTCCCACCCCATCCCTGGTCACCAGGATCGTGCTCTGAAATAAATACTGACAAGAAAATGCAGGAGAACTTTGTCAGGATTGCTGCGGTGTTTCCACAAAGAGGCAAATGCAAAGCCTTTCCCTGGTGGTTCAGATGTTCACTCAGGATTTTCTCTTTTCTGGTTTCTAGCAATTTGAGAACTTCTACTTTGGTACCCTGAAGCTCAATTCAATTCACATCTCCCAGCGGTTCACAGTGGACAGCTTTGGCAACTACGCTTCCTGCGGCCACGTTGACTTCTCCTGAGGTGGAGCGGGGGAGCACTGGGTCTTCGGCGGCACCTCCAGGCCGAGGAGGACAGCTTCGTTCCGAGCTGAAGGTGGCTCGGGAATTCCACATGGGACGGACGGTTCAGAGCGGCTCTCCGCAGACACTGGTGGACACTGCTCGCCTCTGATGGCTGCCCACGTCCACTGCACTGTCAGGCAGGGGGTGGTGGGCATGAGGATTTGGCCTGCAAACCTGGGCCTGTACATCTTTCCCAGGGTCTGTCTTTCCTCATAAAGCTCTTTGGAAATGGGGCTGCACTTGGCTGGGCCTCGGGTTTGCGAGGTTTCCCATACCGCTGATGATTTTACCCCGGCTATTAAACTCTTCTGTATCGATGCTTTCCTTATTTTTTTGGTGCTGGGGATCAAACTTAGGACCTCACACATGCACAGCAGACGCTCTACCATCGAGCCACCTCTCTGGTCTCAGTACTTGAAAAGTGAGTTAAAGTACTTGGGGGCCAGAGCGACAGTACAGTGGGGCGGGCATGTGGCTGACCTGACTTCAATCTCCAGCATCCCATGTGTGGTCCCCTGACCCGCTCCCCTCCCCCAAGGAGTAAGCCCTGAGCACAGCAAACCCTCCCCCAAGCCCCAAACCCTCCCCCCAACAAAACAAAAACCAACCACATAAAGTACTTGAAAAGAGAGTGTTTTGGTTTGATTTTTGGGCCACACCCAGGAATGCTCAGGTGTTAACTCCAAGGAATCACTCCTGGCAGGGATTGGGGGACCTTATGGGATGCTGGGAATCGAACTTGGGCAGGCTGTGTCCAAGGCAAGTGCCCTACCTGCTGCACTCTCTCCAGCCTCTGAGAGTTAGTTTTTGAAAGTTCTTCACCTGGATCAAGTAACTGTAATGCTTAGGTTTGTGTTTTCCCCTTATCCCATGCCCTAACTTTTTAATCGCCACTGAGAATTTTTTTCTTATTGCGATTTTATTTCAGGGTCACCCGGGATGCTTGTGGCTCCTCCAGGCTCCACGCTCAGGGGAACGCCCGGTGCTGGGGCTCCAACCTGAACTTCAGCATGCAAAGCATGTGCCCCAGCCCTTTGAAAACCCAGAATTTCTGCATACTCATGTGAAAACATGACCAAAGCTTACCATCTTAATGATTTTTTAAGAATTCCTGGTTGGGCTCAGGGGACCATGTGCAGTTCTGAGAACTGAGCCCAGTCCTCCTGAGCACTGCTTAGGGGCCCCTCTAAAAAAGAACCTGCTCTCTCAAATTGTTTTATTTTTATGGTTTGGTTTTGGAGCCACGCCTGGTGATGCTCGAGAGGCCACATGGAATGTTGGGGGTTCAAGCCGGGTCAGCAAGCGCCTACCCATTACATGATCTCTCCAGCCCGAGAAGAACCTGCTTTTCGTCTCTCTGCTTCTCAGAACATCAGTGCTAATAAAACAGCTTGATAGTTTTTCCTTCACACTTGTGCCCTTCTACATTTGCTGCCTTTAACGTTTGCGAGATTCCAGAATCTCCTCCCTGCCGTAATCCTCGCCATCCTGAACCCTGATGGAATTGAGTGTTGTATCTCTTTTTCTGTTTGCTTCTCAAGGCAGCAAAAGTAGAAACAGCCATTGATAGCCCAAGACTGAGCTGCGTTTCCCGGGAAAAGGTCAGCGGCAGAAGTGCTTCTTGCCCATAGCCAAGCACAGTGGAAGTGCACTGCACAGCACACCGAGTACTCCTATACAGTCCACGAGTGCTCCCACACAACCTCATAGTGCTCCCACACAACCTCACAGTGCTCCCACACAACCTGCAGTGCTCACAGAACTCACCAGTGTCCTCACATAGTTTGTCAGTGATGCCACACTGCCCAGCAGTGCTCCCACATAGCCCGCTAGTGCTCCCACACACCAGTGCTCACACACAACCTGCCAGTGCTCCCACACAACTCACCAGTGTCCTCACATAGTCTGTCAGTGATCCCACACTGCCCACCAGTGCTCCCACATAGCCCGCCAGTGCTCCCAATGCTCCCACATACCAGTGCTCCCACACCAGTGCTCCCACACAACCTGCCAGTGCTCCCACACAACTCACCAGTGTCCTCACAGTCTGTCAGTGCTCCCACATAGGCCGCCAATGCTCCCACATAGCCCACCAGTGCTCCCACACACTCACCAGTGTCCCCACACAACCTGTCCGTGCTCCCACACAACCCACCAGTGCTCCACACACCAGTGTCCTCACATAATCTTTCAATGCTCCCAAACCACCGAGCAGTGCTCCCACATAGTCTATCAGTGCTCTCACAGTCTGTTGGTGCTCCCGCACAGCCCACCAGTGCTCCCACACAGCCCACCAGTGCTCCACACACCAGTGTCCTCGCATAGTCTCTCAATGCTCCCACGTAGTCCGCTAGTGCTCCCACACAGTTCACTGGTGCTCCCACACAGTCCCCCAGTGCTCCCACACAGTCCCCCTTACCCCGGTCCCCTGGCATAATCTGGGGGCAGTGGGGGGAGTTCCAGCCTCCCTGTACTTCTCTCTCCCTCAGATCCCTCAGATTCCCTCCAGGTCTTCTCTCTGCCCTTCACTCACCTCACCTCCTGTCTTAAGTTTCCACTTGAGAACACTCATCTGAACCCTTTATATTCGGTATAAAGGTCACTCGTGGTGAGAGCTGTGTGGAACAGCCACACACTGGGACATGTGTGACTGCACGAACCACCTGCACCACCAGGAGCGATCCCTGAGCACAGAGCCAGGAGAAATCCCTGTGTATCCCCAAAATAGAAACAAAACCAAAAAAAATAATGTTGTCATCCATAGGTTATTATTCTCACTGCATTTAAGCACATCTATTTTCAGTAAGTTTTCACACTTAACATCTGATATTAGTGGGGTGCTCAGATTTGCCAAGTACTTGTATATTAATTTCTCTAATTAACCCACCTAATTTTGAGTATTCGGGTTTGCTTTTGGGACCGCACCCAGTGGTGCTCTGAGGCTATTCCCGGCAGTGCTTAGGGGACCAGGCAGTGTGGGGGTTCAGACTCAGGCCTCCCGCAAGCAGAGCATGCAGTTCAGCCCCTTCAGCTACCTGCCAGGCCCTGAGCTCACTTAATTTGCTGGTAAATTTATCTTCATTTTACAATCTGAGACACAACAAGATTAAGGAACTTGTCTGAGGCTATTCAGCACGTATCAGAGTTTCCTGAAACATGCCCTAAGGGATCTTCAAGAACCTTTTCAATAATGAGCACCCCATTATTTCAATTGAAATGATAAGGTGTTTTTTGCCTTTTGGGACACTTATCCAGTGGTATGTGGGACATGGTCTGGGGGTCAAAATAGGAGCTTCCACATCGGAGCTCGTAAGTCAGCCTTTGAGCCTCTCCTGGCCCATCCCTTCCTTTCCTTTTTCACTCCTGTGCTCTCGGAATGCACAGAGGAACGTCTCATAGACTTCGGGATGGTGGTGATGTCTTCACTCAGGTGGTTAATGAAATATTCGTGGGGCTGGAGCGATAGCACAGCAGGAGGGGCGTTTGCCTTGCATGCGGCTGACCCGGGTTCGATTCCCTGCGTCCCATATGGTCCCCTGAGCACCACCAGGAGTGATTCCTGAGTGCAGAGCCAGGAGTAACCCCTGTGCATTGCCGGGTGTGGCCCAAAAAGCTAAAAAGAAAAAGTATTTGTACATTTTTGTTTTTTAGAATCTTATCAGTACAAAATACAGAGTTTTAAGCATTTGAAAATATATTTTTTAGTGTTTGGACCACACCCAGTGATGCTCAGGGTGTATTCCTGGTTCTGCTCTCAGAGATCACTCCTGGTGTTGCTCAGGACTATATAGGATGCTGGGGATTGAACCTGCGGCTGAGTACTGCAGCCTACTTGCGGTACTATTGCTCGAACCTCTGTACATGCAATTTTTTTTACAAATTTTCTCACCCAGCAGTAGGTAATAGATCACATCAGTTGTCAGTAGATAGAGTCCTGTTTATTTTCAGCGATTGCTTTGTGTATTACTGCATCATTACTGGTTTCTGACTCGTGGAACTGCATTGAAGTTTGACTGTCACAGTTCTGGTTGGAACATCTTTATACTGTTGTATTTTATGCCTGTAAGGTCATCTAGATATGGGATTAAATGATGGTTTTAAAAAATATTTAATAAGAAACCGGATTTATTGGGAACGGGGAGGTGCAGGAGTGACTCAGGAGGGGCAGCTCTGAGGCTCTAGGAAGTGGGGCCCCACCGTTTTTCCAGAGACCCACAATGAAGGATACACCCACAGTCATCTGCAAGAGCAACTTTTCAGTCACCATGTTCGCAAACTTATTTGCATTAAACTTGGTAAATGTGACTCATGTTTTGGAGATGTGACTCTTACCATGGGCAGGGAAATTGAATTTGACCCTGTCTAAAGCGTTGGATTAAATGGTTTTAAAGAGGTATATAGGACTGATGAGATAGCCCAGAGAATGGGAGCTCATGCATGCAGGAGACCTCAGCTCCATCCCTGGCCCCACATGGTCCCTTGAGCATCCCCAGGAGCATGGAGCTGGGCGTAGACACGCCCCCTCCCCCAAAAAAGTAAGGTGTTTTAAGGTTTCTTTAGAAATTCCCATACCTTCCTCCATTTTGTACTGCTAAGTGTTAAATATAAAAATAAAAACAGAAAAATGCGTAAGACCAGTGTACCATTTAACAAATGTTCCCAGCAGCTTTTGGACCCATTAGCTTCAAAAGGCTGATGTAATCTCTCCAAAGTGAGGCAAACCTTTTCGTCTTTATGAACTGTAATTATGTTCATTTTCTACATGTTTTATCCATCATCTGGAATTTGGGCTTTGTGTCCACAATGTGTGCTTGACTCTTAAGGCCTTTGAGAGAGCACAATGGTTAAAGCACTTAACTTGCACACAGCTGACCTGGGTTCGATCCCTGTATCCCATATGTTCCCCTGAGTACCGCCAAGAGAGAGCCCTGGTCACGGATCCAGGAGTAAGCACTGAACACGATTAGACATGGCCCCAAAACAAAGCCCCCAAATTGGCTTTTATTCCTGGCTTTAGCTCTGCACTGCAGTCACTTTCCTTAGGTTCCTAACAGCCTGTTTCAAAAGGTCAAGAGAAGACAGGTCCTGTTGGAGAAGCCCCAGGAGTATGGGAAAGGTTTGATCTTTATTTATTTTTTGGGGGGGGGTCACACCCGGCGATGCTCAGGGGTTACTCCTGGCTCATGCACTCAGGAATCACTCCTGGCGGTGCTCGGGGGACCATATGGGATGCTGGGAATCGAACCTGGATCAGCCTTGTACAAGGCAAACGCCCTACCCGCTGTGCTGTTGCTCCAGCCCCAAGGTTTGACCTTTAATCCTTCTAGAAACAGCTATTTTCTTATCAATGGCCATTTTGGCAGTGTCCTTCCAAGCTTTTGGGGAAGTTCTGGTCATTTGAGAAGACCAGGACTTTCCTAAGATCGTGCTGGGGTGGAGACTGACAACTCGAACTGACCCTGGAGATCCGTAATTGACGGCTAAGTGGCCAGGACTAGGCTGGGGTGAAAAGAGGACAAATGTGAGAGCCGAGAGACGGTACAGCAGGAGGGGCACTTTCCTTGAATACAGCTGACCCAGTTTCGATCTCCCACGCCACAGAAGGTCCTCGAGTCCCATCAAGAGTAATCCCTGAGGGGGCCGGAGGAATAGCACAGCGGGTAGGGCGTTTGCCTTGCACTCGGCCGGTCTGGGTTTAATCCTCGGCATCCCATATGGTCCCCCAAGCACCGCCAGGAGTGATTCTGGAGTACGGAGCCAGGAACGACCCCTGAGCATAGCTGGGTATGACCCAAAAAGAAAAAAAAAAGTAATCCCTGAGCACTCCCAGGGATGGCACCATAAAAACGAGTAAAAGAGAACATCCAGAGCACCAGGATGGGCTGAAAGGGAAGAAAAAAAAAAAGTTGAACACAGTGCTGGAGCAGAGGGGCACTGTAGCCATTTCTTCCTTGTTTCGGAAAAGAATGAACATTTTTCAAATGGCCCTGGGCATGGGCACTTGGTATGTCCTTTTACCCAGGTTTATGGCAGTTCTCTGAGACAGGTGATAGTATTGTTCGTAGAGAAAACAGATCACTGGGCAACTTGTCCAATAAAGCCGTTCGTAACTGGGACTCCAGCCTCTAGCCACACCGCCCTTTCGCTCTCCCAGCAAGCAGCTGCTTGGACCCGGAGAGGAAGCCAGCGACAGCCAGGGCTTCAGGGCAGCGCCTCAGAGAAATACAACGTGCCCAGCCCAGAGAAAACGCGGAAAGGGAGCTATTGTGCTGTGTTCCCCAGGGACCCCAGCCCCAGCTCCCAACTGCACCGGCTTTCCCAGCCAGGCCAGAGGCAGGGAGCCAGAGCCCTAAGCTGCTTTTCCTACTGATTACAATCTTGTTTCTCATTGCCTTCAGTGTTTTTGTAAGATTGCCGCCCCAAGTCTTTTCACAAAAAGCACAAATCTGGGGCAGGAGAGATAGTCAAGCCGGGAGGGCGCTGGCCTTGCTTGGGGCTGACCCAGGTTTGATTCCTGGCATCCCATATGGTGCCCTCTGCATCCCGCCAGGAATGATCCTTGAGTTTGGGTCCTCCAAGTTCATTGTTTGGTCTGTCAGTTCATCTATGTCCTTGCGTTTGGAACAAAAACCTCATCCATTTCTGTTCTGATTCAGGGGCTGTGCCTTCCCCGATGGCACATCCACACATTTCTACAGGTAATAGTAAGAGGGTCACACTTTGAACAAAAACTTAAAACATCCCCTCCCCGCCCCGCGCCCCCACCAACCTCCCTTCCCTTATTAAGATCTGCCCGAAGTCAAAACTGGGAGCAAATATGCCTCTTGCAAACGTGCCGCAGGGAGGCGGATGAAATGGTCAGACATCTGCCTTACAGAGTTGCCACAGGATGGGCTAACAAAAAGGGCTGCCGGCCCCTCAACAGCTGCCTTGGGAGGGGACATCTGCCAGTTTCACCAGCCATTCAGCGCTGGCACTGCGTCCTTGAAGAGACCCCGCGGGCGGGCCGGGGTACAGTGGGAGGCGGCCAGTCGGATGGCTTTTGTCTTAGGGCAGCGACCCAGTGCGGAGGGCCGAGCTGGACCCCAGCTGTCCAGGGCTGCGGCGCGGGGCGCGCTGCGTGGGCGGGAGGAGCGTGCTTGGAGCCAATTTGCTTCGGCACCTGAGCCTGCCTTTTCTCTTCTTTAATTTTTTTCTCGAGTTCTGTGCATTCTCCCCCGGGGAGCCCCGCTGTGCTCTCCACCCTCCCAAGACCCCAGGGGCCGCCGGGGTCCGGATCGCGGGTGGGCAGCTCCCCGAGCGCGCGCCTCTGCGGCGGCGGGCACCGGGCATCTCCGCTAGCGCTTCCCGTGGAGGCCGACCCCTCCTCCCGCCCTTCCTCCGATCCAGGTATGATGATGTCAAACGTGAGGCTGACGCTACCGTCACAGACACGGCCCCCGCCGGCGCAGGCTCCGACTCTCCCTCTCCCGGTCCTGCTGGGCGTTTGCAGACAGGCGCATCTCCCCGGCAGGGCACGCTTGAGCCCGCGCCCCGCGCTCGCAGCGCCGGTCCCCGGGAGTCGCCGCCGAGCGCGCGCGCAGGAAGGACCCCGCGACCCTGCAGGACGCGAGACCCCCGGGGTCGGACCCACGACCGCGATGCGCGCCCCGGGCTGCGGGCGGCTGCCGCTGCCGCCGCCGCCGCTGCTGCTGCTGCTGCTGCTGGCCGCGGCCGCGCTGGCCCAGAGCGACGCCAAGGGGCCCCGCGAGGGCGAGACCCCCGGCAATTTCATGGAGGACGAGCAGTGGCTGTCGTCCATCTCGCAGTACAGCGGCAAGATCAAGCACTGGAACCGCTTCCGAGACGTGAGTCTGCAGGGGCGCGTCCCTGCGGCGCGAGTAAACAACGCGCGCCCCCCGGGCCGGCCGTGGGAGGGCGCGGGCCCCGCCAGCCGCGCCGCCTCCCGCGCCCCCACCCCAATTCTCTTGCCCAGTTCCTGCGCTTCGGTGAGCCCCCTCCGCACCCCCCGGGTGGACGCGGCCGGCGCCACCTCCGGGGCCTGCGGAACGGAGCGCGGGTGCCCTCTGGCCCCACCTTGGGCTCCCCGAGGGTGCCCGGGTCGGGGGCGAGCCTGGCCGTCCTCCGGAGCGAGCGATGGGGAAAGGCGTGTCCGGGAGGGTGGGGGTGGGGGGCGCCGGGTCTGGGGTCCCCTGCGGAGCGGCGCCAGCGTGCACAGAGGCGGCTTCGGCCGGACCCACGCGGGGCATTGGCAGCGCGGGGAGCCCGCAGCTGGGGCTGGGGGCTGGGGGCTGGGGGCTGGGGGGGCACCCGGGGCGGCAGCTGCGGCACTTTGTTTACCGGCACCTGTAGAGCAGAGGAAGCCGGAGGCGGCGGTCCCCGAGGGGGTTGGGGGAGGGCGGGGCCCGGAGGGGGGGCGGGGGTGCGAAGTGGGGGATGGGCCCCGGCGCCCACGACCCGCCGCTGCCCACGCGACTTCAGGCCCTGCCGCGCGTCGCCCTGATCCCGCATCGGAGCACCCCCCTCCCAACCCCGGGCACAGCGGGGTCTTTCTCGCCTTGTCATTTTCACGCACCCAGAAGTTCCTTAGGCGTGTCTGTGCCGCGCGCGCACACACATGCACACATGCACATGCAGACACAGCACACACACGCACACATGCACACACGCACGCACACGCATGCACGCGCGCACACACACACACACATGCACACACGCGCACACACGCGCGCTCCCTCCCGTTGCAACGCGGTGGCAGAGGCACTTCGGGATCCTTTCGTGGCCCCGAGTGAGACCAGGAGGGTCCAGCAGGAGCCTCGTGCGCTGCAGCGGGCCCGCGTCCTGCGCCCCTGGGCCGGCCGAGGTGGCCTGGGCCGCTGCGCCCCGCCCGCCGCCGCCGCGCGGTCCAGCCTGGGGCGCCAGCGCGGCCCTTCCCTCCCTCGCCCCTGCAGACCCAGCCCAGGAGCCGCAGTCTCCGCGCTCAGCCCCGGGGGGCGGCTGCGGGCCTGCTGCGGGGCGGGGGCGGCCCTGGCCCAGCCGCCCGGCCCAGCCTGCATCCGGCGTCCTCCGCAGGGCTCGGGCCATCCGCTGGCCTCGCGAGCTTCGGAAGTGAAAGCGGTGAAGGTCAAGGAAAGGCAATGCTTCCTCCGAGCAGGGAAGGGAAGGTTTAAAAATAAAAGAGTCCTCCCCACCTCCCTGCCTCCACCTGCTTCCAATCCCCAGCTCTGTGGGCGCGGAGCAAGGGCTGACTGCCCGACCCCTGGCACAGGGCTGCCCACCTGTCTCCTTGTACTGGTGCCAGCCCCCAGCCCCCTCCCTCTCCCATCAAGAATAAAGCCTTCAGATCTGGGGGCTTGGGGATTTGCAAGTCCACAGGCCTGCCCAGGTTGCTCAGAGCTTTCGGGCAGCTCCTGATTTGGGTAGCCTGAGGTTTTTATAGGGCACTCTGCCACCCCATTTAGGGTGTCCTGGGGAGCAAAGCCGGGCAGAGGAGGAGCAGTGGAAAGAGGGCTGGAGGCACCGGCTCTCAGGAGCCAGCGGCAGCTTCTGCAGAAGCGCAGGACGTGGCTTGCTCAGAACCACCGCATTGCATGGCTTGGGGGAGGGGGTGCGTCCCGGAGTGGGAAATGGCACCTCGGAGGCTGTGCTGTGCCCAGACTCGACGCAGAGGCTCTGCTGTCCCTACGGACACCGCCCCCCGACCCAGAGCTCTGAACCTCTCTGTGCTATGTCACAACGAGCTGGAGAACCAAGGAGTTTCTCCCGGGCCTCTAAGACACTGCCCAAACCTCGTTGGTGATAGTCACAGAACGGGCCCCAGCCACCCCCTTCCCGCACCCCATTGCCCTTAGAGGAAGGGAGACAGGCAAGAGGGGGGGCTGTTAGGGCTGGGAAGGTCTCTAGAAGAGGCTGGAGACCTGAGGGGGGATGGCGGGATGTGGTGGGGGGAGGGGAGGGATGAAGAGGACCTTCTCCCCGAGGCAGCTCTGCTCAGCCTGGAGGCTCCGGGATTAGAGGAAGCAGATTACCAGCTCTGTAATCCTCCCCTCCTGCCGGGAGCCCCCACCCATCTCTCCTGCTGCCCTCTGCCAGATGGGGAGGAGGGGGCTCCTCGGCCCTGCTCCCCAAAAGCTCCCCTGGCCGGGTCCATGCCCTGCTGAAGGGGACGGAATTGGGTTGCAGCACAAGGTCTTGGGGCGAAGCTTTGGGCCTCGCAGCATCTCTGGGCAGCTCTTGCTCTTCCTTTCCTCCTCGGCTCTTCTCTCCTTCAGCCCTGCTGCCAGTTAGCCAAATGGGATCTGTGAGCACCCGACGCCGAGCTCGGCACCCAGGAGACCCATGGTGCCACAGGCCCTGCATCGGGGATGGACTTTGTCTGACCCTTTACCTGTGTGCAGCCTCTCCGGCGGCTCCGCCCCGCCATTGTTAGGTTATTTATTTTTCATGTTTTAAATTTTTGGCCCACACCCAGAGGTGCTCAGGGCCGACTCTGGCTCTGCACTCAGGGATCGCTGCTGGTGGTGTTCAGTGAAGGTTTCTGGGGTGCCGGGGATTGGACCTGTCTCTGCCACGCTCAGGGCAAGCGCCCTCCCCGCTGTTGCTACTCTGTCCAGCCCTTCATCATCATCATCGTGGCTGCAGTCTCCCCACTGTGTGGCTGCAGAAACGGGTGCAGAGCGTTTAAGTGACAGTGCCAGGACTCCAGAGCTAGGAGTGGGGGGTGTTAGAATCCAAGCTTGGCTTTTCAGGGGACTCTGGGCCCAAGCCTTAGTGAAAGGTCAAGAAAGAAGAAAGTTCTGGAGCTCACAATTCCCTCTGGTTTGTGTGCCCTCCAAGCCAGGGCTGCCCCAGGCAACGGCACCCCTAGGAAGGGGGGCAACCCCCAGGGTCCTCATCAGCTGCCACACACACACACACACACACACACACACACACACACACCCTGGGCACTGTCAAAGCCTGGGATGTGAGGGCTGGCTTCTGGGTCTGCCTCTGCCACGGGTTGCCCAGGTGGTGCCAGCCTTAGGTAGAATCTCTAAGGGGCAGTTTAAGGGGGAAGTGGTCCCAAACCGGAAGGATCTTGCAGAGGCCTGGAGGGTGTCTTATTTCAGGCTCCGCTAGCCCCAGATGGATCCCTTCTGTGGCAGCCCACACAGGGCCTAGGGGGAGACCATCTCGGGCTGAGCACCTGCTCCGTGTGCAGGAGGCCTGGGTCCCATCCCCCACACTCCATGGTCTTGGCAAACTGCCGAGAGCAACGTCTAAACACTGAGCCCCTGAGACCGCCCAGTTGGGAGCACCCAAAAAGCCACCCCCCTGGGCTGGAGCGATAGCACAGCGGGTAGGGCGTTTGCCTTGCACGCAGCTGACCCGGGTTCAATTCCTGGCATCCCATGTGGTCCCCCGAGCACCGCCAGGAGTAATTTCTGAGTGCATACATCAGGAGTAACCCCTGTGCATCGCCAGGTGTGACCCAAAAAGAAAAAAAAGCCGCCCCTCCCCGCCCCCAAACCCCAAAACAAAACATAAACCTTGCCCTGTGTTCATCAGTCCATCCACTGCAGAGCCAAACCCCTCCCACAAGCCAAGCCTCACAACCAGGCAGAGGCTTTCAAACTTATCTGGCCGAACAAAAGCAAAGCAATTCCTTAGCTTAGCACCACCAGCCCCTGGGTCTCCAGGCCTCACTACGGCTGCTTGTATCCCATGAACCAGGAGAGGTTGAGTCCCCGAGCGGCCCCTTTCAACCACAGCTGCCCTCTCCCCCCACCAGCCCTGACCCTGAACCACAGGTGTCTCCGTGTGGGTGTGTGAGAACCCCAAACTGGGTCAGTATGGATTCCAGAACTGGAGTCTGGGGCTCGCAAGGTGGGTCCCTGGGGGCCGGGGCCGGGAGGGGCAGTTGCTGGTGGACTCCAAAGCTTCCCACCCTGGATGAGAGCTAGCAAGAAGAGCTCCATGCCTGGCTGGCTATTTGTCCGCTGTCATGGGCATCGAGACTGTCTGAGGGTGGTGGCGCTCCAGCTCCTGCCCACCCAGGACACAGGGACAGTGTCATCCTTGACTGACCTCTAGTGCCTGGAGCAATGCCCCCTGTTGGTTTAAGGGGCGGATGGAGCCGAGTGGGCCACAGACTTGGCATCAGCCAATCCCTGGGCCCGCAGCCGCCATCCATCCCCTGCCCCGATGCCACCACACCTGGGGCGGGAAAGGATTTTCTTTGCTCTCCAGGAAGCCTGGGGATGGATTGGCCAGTGACTGAGACACTGCAGGATGGACCTCATGGCCTCTGGGGCAGATCTGGGAAGAGGGTCACCCGCTGCTTCTGGAGGGGCTCCCTGCAGGGCCCGGGGGGGGGGTCCTTATGAACATGAGCATGTGGGTGCCCGGTCTCACGGGCAGAGCTCGCCTGGCTGCAGCCTGTGGGGGGATGTGCCTCCCTTGGGTGCAGAGACACCCCCTTCTTCCTGGCTCCTACAGCATGTGTGGGAACATGCTGGTGGCACCTGATGGCCCTCCGGGATCCTTCGAGAGCTGCTGTCTCGTGAGCACTGCATGGTCTTGTCATGTGTGTTCATCCTGCTCTTGTGAGGGAGTCTGGGAATAGACGCCACTTCCGTCCCGCCCTGGTTCAGATCCTCGAGGGGTGTAAATGTGGGTGCATGGAATGGGCATGTCAGAAAAGGCAGCAGCTGCCTGGTCATTGGGTGTGGGGGCTTTTGGCCACACCTGGCGATGCTCAGTTATTACTTCTGGCTCTCCACTGGGAATCGCTCCTGGTGGAGCTCGGGGGACCAAGGGGACCCAGGGATTGAACCTGGGTCAGCCAGAGCAAGGCAAGTGCCAGGTTGGGATTTGTCTCCTG